TACCAGAGATGTTTTCTTCGTTATCAGTGAGAGAAATGCAGCTCAGTTGAACTGAAGAGATTGGAAGAAAAAAAAAATCACCAAGGCATACTTGCAGTTTTAAGTTCAAGTTAAGAGCAGATATCTTTCAAGAAATTATAAATCACTTCATGCTTCCTTCTGCTGACAAGCTCTATTGTGATGCTTATTACATTTTGAAGCAGGACTTGGTTCCCAGGTATTGGATGTATAATATGTTCTGCAAAGAACATGGGTAAAGTTTACAGTAGCCAGGCATTGATGCATATATAATATTTTTATTATTGATCTGAAGTTTTATTTGAATTTTCAGTGGGGGTTTTTTCCCCCCTTTATCATTAGCTGCAGGTCTTATTCAATTTAGCAGAAAATGCTGCTTCAGACGCACCTTGTAGTGTTTACAATTTTTTTTTCCTGACTTTTTAGACCATTTATTATGCCCAACCTCATCCCTCCCAAGATCCCAGATGGGGAGAAGGTGGATTTCGACGTAAGTAACACACGTCTGGTTTCAGATTATCGATCGAAAGCACTGCTTTTACGTTTTATTTTGCTGTGAACTTCCTTTTCGATGCGCCTTCAACGGTTCTGAATGCGTGCTTCCGCAGGACATACACCGTAAGAGGATGGAGAAAGACCTGATGGAGCTCCAGACTTTGATTGAGGTTCACTTTGAAAGCAGGAAGAAGGAAGAAGAGGAGCTCATTAGTCTCAAAGAACGAATTGTGCGTGCCCTAATTACGCTTTGGTAGGAGATGAACCAATTAAACCACGCAGCAATAATGGCAAAGCGCTACAATCTGTTTCAGGAGAAGCGCCGCTCTGAGCGCGCGGAGCAGCATAGGATACGCAGTGAGCGAGACAAAGAACGTCAAAAGCGACTTGAGGTTGACATGTGCTGCTGCCGCTTGCACAGCTAGTAACATGTACTAATTTTTACTGCTGATTATTTTACTCGTTTGGTTGTACGTTTTTGTCTTCCAGGAAGAGAGGGCTCGTAAGGAGGAGGAAGAGGCAAAGAAGCGAGCAGAGGACGACGCAAAGAAGAAAAAAACCTTGACCAGCCTCCACTTTGGAGGCTACATGCAGAAGCTGGTAACAAAATAAGGATTAATAAAAAAAAAAAAAAAAAAAAAAAGTCTAAATCAAATATCAACGCATTCACAAAGCGTTTCGTTTTCCCAGAACGAGAAGCGAAGCGGTAAAAGGCAGACAGAGAGGGAGAAGAAAAAGAAGATTTTGAGTGAAAGACGTAAATCTTTGGATATCGACAACTTGAGTCAGGAAAAACTCAAGTAGGTGGAAAGAAATATTGTGCCGCATATGCCGAACGTCTCGTCTCATTTCTATAAGTACTAACATATAATTATGAAACCTCACTTCCCAGGGAGAAGGCCAAGGAGTTCTGGGAGTGGATGTATGAGCTGGAGGCGGAGAAGTTTGACCTGCAGTACCAATTCACCAGGCAGAAATATGAGGTGCCTGTGTGCATCAGTTTGCAGCTTTTTTACATCAAGTAAAACAAAACACATTGCCACAGTAACATTTGCCCCCTTTTTTTTTCTTCTTCTTCTTTGTTCCAGATAAACGTGCTGAGAAACCGTGTCAGCGACCATCAGAAAATGTGAGAATCTATCTCTCCTTTAAACCAATAAACACGCTGCCCTCATGTCAAGCCTCCACTAGCCAGTCGAAATGAACGTCACTTCACATACTTGCTGCAGGAAAGTCTATTTTGACTCTGTAAATGAGACCTAAGCTGAACTTTTTGGCCACCAAACATCATTGATGCCAGAAAGACCAACACTGAACATCACCCTGAACGGCCCATCCTATTGGTAACATATTGAGAGGAAAGCATCATAATGTCGGAATGGTTTATATTTCAGTAATTACAGTGAAAATGGTCGGAAACACTTGCAACCTAGCAATGACTCGGAGGGTCGGACTAAACATGTAAAAACATGTAAAGTTTTATATCTGATTCATCGCCTACTTCCTACTTTGTTTTGAATTGTAACATAAAATACAAACAAGCTTCACTGAAGTTTATAGATGAAGTTTGGGAAAAATGTGAGGAAGTTTGAGGGGTTTTTGCACAGCATTGAAGTAGCTTGCGAAGCATGATGGGGTGGGAAAGACGACTTTTCGTTTTCCTCTTCAACGCCCCATGCAGACAAACAAGCTCAGCCTGAATCCTTAACCTCATGAGCTGTTTTTTTTTTTTTTTGTGGTTTTCACAGATCCAAGAGAACAAAGAGAGGCCTTAGGAAATAGATGACCTGCTATCCAGACTAAGTACCTAAACCAAGACCTGCCGTTATCGTCACACCCAAGTCACACCTTTCTCCTCGATGGGACACTTTCTAGTGTGTTGCATAATACCATATATATTCAGTTTGGGTTTTTTTTCAGTTACATCCTTGGAACAGTGAATAATTTGTAGGTGTAAATAAAACCTTATTTTAAAAAACAGCTTTGAGCTTTTTTTTTTTTTTTTTTTTCCCCAGGACAAGTGACTGCAGGTGCATGTTTTCATTTAGTGACACTGGAGTAAGTGCCCCAAGTCGAAAGTGACTAATATCGTAGAAGCCAAGAGCAAAGTCGGGAACGGACAATCTTCCTGCTCTGAGACAGGCTCGGACACGAGCGACACTGATGCACCTTGGAACGACGCCCAGACATCCACCCTGCACGCTGCTCTCTCCCCTCCACCGTACACAGTTGAAAGAGAATGAATCATCCTCATTTCCATTTCCTTAATCTGGGTGGGAAAGTGTTTCTGGAAGAAGCTCCTCCTCCAACAACATTTCAAAGTATCAAATGTGTCAAAATGATTTTTTTTTTTTTTGTACATCAGCTCCACGGCATTAATGACAGCAGGTTTTTGCCCTTAAGAGTCTGAAACTAAAGACGAAATGGAATAAAACCGTTAGGCACACAGAAAACGTAAATTGTTCACGCCACTGGATTATTTGTTTGTGTACGTTTAAAAATGAGTAAATCGTGCACACGAAAACTATTTTTGAAAACGACAACAACAACAAAAAAAGTCTCCTGTTTGTCTATCATAGTTGCACTCTTAGTCAGAGAAAGGCACGCAAAACCACAGGAACTCTCCTGGAACGAGAGCCTGGGGCTTAATTAGTTGAAGATATCAACCAATAAATCTGAAAACAGACACTAAACTCTAACCACACACAGCAAATACGGTTGTGCAGTCATTTCATTTGTAAATACTGGAGAAGTTGTGTCCCAAAGAAACAGACAACCTTGACGTTCTTCGTTTGCATAGCTGTTTATTTTTGCATGTAAAGTAACAACAAAGCTCTTAATAAAATGTAACATACACAATTCTCAAAAAGAAAAAAAACAAACATACCAAACAATACTGAAGGTGATCGAGCCTAAAGGCAGAGGAACCTTAAGACAGCCAAGTATGAAAATGTCCAATGTCTTTCACTTTGGGTTGATAGAGGTGACAACCACCTTAACAAATAGCTGAGATGTCTTTTATCGTTTGTTACACAACCTGCACCAACAGGAAACATGTTTGTTTTCTTTTTTTTATTATTTGAAGACATAGACAGCAGCTCTGTGATAAAACAGATACCCTGTAAAGACCCCATAACTCTGTAAGGTTGCAAGAGAGAAAACATGATACGAGTTGGACAAAAAAAACAAACAAAACTAAATTAACCATCTCTGTGTCTTCCTCCTGCCTGACGATTTGAGCTTAGCTCATAATTCATTATGCTTGCATAAAAAGGAACAGCCTTTTTTTTTTTTTTCCCAGCTCTTCTATTAGCTAAATGCCAACATCCCACATCGCCGGCTCCACCTGCCATAAGGCAGTGGCTGACAGGCCTGACTCTTTGCTGCTGCACAAAACTCCTTTGAATGCATGACTCGCTCATGCCACCGCTCATGCTACCACTTTGCCTCTATTTTTTTCTGGTTTTTCATAAAAATTCAAGTCAATGTTGAAAAAAAAAACACAAACCTATATCAGAAATACAAATTACACAATATGCATGTTCAATGACAGGGCAATAAAAACAGAAGAGTCCCCCTCCCCTCCCAGTACTGCACATCTGAAGAAACCTAGAAGTATCCGATGAAGACCACTGATATAACTGAAGTGAAGTCACTGCCTGGTGTAAAGCATAAAATCATAAAATCAGAAGTGGCATATTTATCACTTAAAAAAAATTATCCACAAAAATGGAAAAATAAAAAGAAGCTTTGTATGCTATATAAAAACACTGTAAAATTACATGAATGTGTCAAGAGATGTTTTGTGTTTCAAACAGAATTGGCAACATGTCAATAAACAAGCTTTAGCAGAACAAATACGTGCATTTTTTTACTTTTAAGAGAGGCCAGGCTGAAACTGTTGGTTAATGTCTGTTAAGAGTCAACAAGCAGCTAGAGTCAAATTGCTCCTTTGCTATGTCACACTCCCATTTAGTAGCCACACAATGCCAGTTTGTCCCGACCCACTTCCATTTCAAACCCGGAAGAAAATTATGTTTTTTTTTTTGTTTTTTTTTCTGAAAATGTATGATATTTTTGGGTCTGATAAGCTGAATCTTATGTATGTTATAAATCATTTAGTGCAAAGAGATTTTAAAGAAGTTGGGATTGTTGAATAAAAAATAGAATTAATTTTTGTGAAAATGTTGAAAGAGCGTAGCTATCATTTCGTCACAAAACAAAGCTTTTAGAGGAAGCAATGGGTTCAAACTGGATGAAATGGCAAAGAAGCAAAATGAGTAGAAGCCAGATCCATATGTGAAATATGGACCTTTCACTAACTGATAATACCATGTTATATGCATGTTTTTTTTTTTTTGTCATAGAATAACATGTATACACACACATATATATATATATATACACAATTAGAGAAACATAGCATTTTTAACATCAACAACAAATACATTTTTTATATGTGAACATAATATTTTCTGACTAATCTGTTCATGATATAAGCTGGTGGTGTACTTATTTTGACCTCAAACTGAATCTTTTTCGTATTATTTTTGCTTGATGTTACTAAAAACACTTAATTCTCCACGTGCACATTTTTAAAAAAAACAAAAACATATTTCTTAACTTTTTTCATGTTTCTGATGTATATGCCAGTTCTTAACATCACCATGGATGTTCTAGCCACACTAGGAACTGATAACATTGTAATATTTCACAGTGATGCAACTTGTGACTCTTAAGAATCGCTGCACGTCACAATCCATGAAGTGGTTATGTGTATTGAAGGCTGCATGAATTAGGTTTTAGCGCCAACGCTCGCCTACCTCACACACTTAGCCTACCGAAACGCACAAACATTTTCAAATTAAATTACAACTTTTGATCATTGGCGAGGCTAAACTCTCCCCACTGTAGATACATAGTGTTTGAAGGGCATAACTCATAGGCTCTTCCAACAAGGTTGGCAGTGAAGACTTTAAGGGTGTGGCTGCAGAAGCTTCTGATCAGGCGGGTTTCCTTCTGCAAGCACAGGCACATAGAAAGAGAAAGAAGCAGCTAAGAAAATAAGCCCTAATACCTTTTTTGATTCGTTTGGCTTATATTGCCTACATGGGAGATGTCAAATTTGAATGAGCATTCAGAGGCAGGCTTACCTCTTGTTAATTTTTGGTCGGACATTCATCGTCGGAGTCCTTGATAGCCGCTATGGTTGTTGGATTGACAAAATGGATTCTGTCAAATTTCAGCTGCAGAGAGCAAAGTTTGGAAGAAAATCAGTTCGACTTCTGTCACCAGTGCCACCAACAGAGAAGCAATGTACAGTGTCAGCAATTTGAAAGAGCCTCTGGGAGAGTGAGAGAATCTGCTGTTTCTCCACCCTGCAACCTGCTCTACTCGTCTGTTGAGGTTTTATGACATCTGAGTTTGTCTAATAATAGTTACACAAGTATAACTATTTGCGCTCATGCAAAAATGCTCTGCAGAGAACATTTTACTTTCTTCCAATCGGCTCAATTTCCCCAAGTGGTTACACTTCATCCTCCTCTTTGCTTCCCTCCGTTCTTCCCGCCCACCTCCCCTCTGCTACAACTTTCTCCGTAACCGAGAGGATTAACCAGCCTGTATGCCAGGATTCCAGTCTTACTGTTTGTGAAATGACCAACATCTTGGGCGTGGTAGAAGGAAGGAGAAAGTGTCTCCATGAGTCAGGGGAGTAATTAAAAACACTCACCAAACTGCTGAAACCAGACATCTACACCAAATAATTAAAAAAAAAAAACCTTCTTTGCCTCACTGTCTAGAGTCAAATCAGACCAAACGTCTCTTGTTTTAGGTCAGTTAGAATGATTACAATTATTTTTTATTGATTAAATGGCACAATAATGAGAGAAACAATACGAACAAATTATTAGTATTATCGATGGTTGGACATTCTCATTATGTCTGTACTTGCATATAATTATTTGAAAAATCGTGCCCAAGGATGTACCAGACATTTGCAGCTTGGCTGGTTTCTTTTAACTTCCACATCATGTCAAGCAAGAAAGCAGTGCGTTCCACCTGTGGCCTCCAAGTAGCTTGGAATCAGAAAAATTTCTGATTTTTGGAAATCAGAAGTTTCCAAAAAAAAAAAAAAAAGCCATCATTATCTGAGATTCCCCTTCTTGTTTCAAGGCAGAGTAATCATTCTGCATGTAAATTTCTAATTTTGAAGACATAAATAACTCATGTTAATCAAATATTTCTTATGCCTTGTTGCCAAAGTTAGCAAACAGATATGATATTAGTATTTTTAACTGAGCTAAAATAATGAGATGTATGGTCTTATCGGAGGAGGGTGCATGTGTTTCTATTCGGTGTGTGTGAACATCTGCTTTGAACTGTAAGCTGGCCCAAGTTCATGTCATGTCTGCTGGAGAGGAAAAGGCCCCTAATCAGGTACATGTTAAATAGTGATTTATAAATTTACATGTTTAATGGTGCTTCTCAGAAACTTATTTGTCCACAAGTTGTGTAGCAGTTTTGAGGCTGCAAGGGATCCAGCGTCTTGGGGCCTATAACAAATAGACAATGATCAGTTGGGGAGAGCAAAGTGAGTAAGTTTATGGAATAGCTGGAAAACAAACAACAAACAAAAACAAACTCACTCTCTCTGACTTATATCCCTCAGTGCCATAATCAGTTTTGCAGTCATGGTGTTCTTGGTGATCTTCTGGTCTACCAGTAGCAGTCTAGGTAACACGTTGCAAACAGTTGCAACACTATCAGGACCTGCTTCTTTTGTCCAGTCGGTTTCAGTCAAAACCTTCCCAAGTTCAGGCAAAATCTTCGGCGCTACAGAGAAGAGAAATGGTGAAACCTTATTTCACATAAATGAAATTCATGACATTGAGTGCAGTCAGTGTATGCTCCATAGACACACAGGTGCATCTTAATAAAGTGAGATATTTTTGAGATTAGTAGAGTGCGCAGGTCTCCTCCCCTGATGGAAACTAAAATCACCGTCTCTGATCGAACACAATGACAATGATTCCCCAAAGCATCACTGTCGAAAAATTCAAACTGGACCTCTGGCAACTTGGACCCACCGTCTCTTTTCGCTTCCAGCGGACCCTGGGACATGCATTCCTAAAAAAAAACCATCTAAATTTACTCTCATCTTAGAAGATGAGGTTTGACAAGGCCAGTCCATTTACTTCTTAATGAACGTGTTGTGACTCCTGAAGCTGTGACTAAATTCAATTCACTCATTGTGAATCTCCCCCTCAAACATTTTAGCTTAATTTGGTTCACAATCCTCTTGATGCTGTGGTTATTCCTGTGGCTTGTGTGCCTTTTTTTAAGCTAGATTTTCTTTCTTCTACTTAGTTTTCCATTTACATGCTTGAACCGAAAGACAGTTTTTTCTAAAAAGAGACTTAGATATAGTTTTTTTTTTTTTTTTTAATATGGATGTTTCTCAGTAAGGGTTGCACAGTATCATCACAATATCAATGTGCACATTAATAATATTGGAATTAACTGATTTTATTGTTATATTTGTTACCTGTGAGTTATTTGTTGTAATATTTAATTTAATTTGGGGTTCTCAGGTGTAAGTCATGATTATCATTATGAAGAAAAAAAAATCCATTAAGGAAAATTTTATACATCATGAATATGACGCATAAAGGCGCAGTTGGTAGAAAGAAGGTCCTGGGTTCGGTTCCCGGCCCGGGGTCTTTCTGCATGGAGTTTGCATGTTCTCCCTGTGCGTGTGTGGGTTTTCTCCGGGTACTCCGGCTTCCTCTCACAGTCCAAAAACATGACTGTCAGGTTAACTGGTATCTCTAAAATTACCCTGATGTGTGAATGTGTTGTTGTCTGTGCATGATTGTTTGTCTTGTCTGTCTCTGTGTTGCCCTGGCAACCTGTCCAGGGTGTGCCACGCCTCTCGCCCGTTGACTGCTGGAGATAGAAACCAGCACCCCTTGCGACCCTGAAAGGCTAAGTGTGTTAGAAAATGGGAGGATCATGAGTCTACCATGGCTTTCACATCTGGAAACAGTCCATCCTATTTGAAAATAAAGGTTGTTTCTTACCCATCTGGGATTGCAAACTGGGTGTGCGAGACATGTTATCCAGAAGAGAGAGATACATCTTTTGAGTAACTTGGGACCGCAATAGACTGGACAAGAGACAATTGTTCGAAAGTTGGTTGAACAAATGCTCACTCACAGCTACAGACCTCTGAAACACAAGACACGTAAATACATTTCAGTTGTATGTACCACTTCAGTGAAGCTGTCCATATTTACACCACTTATGCAATGAGTTCATAGTGGAAATTTACATGGATTTAGTTTGTAACATCTCCTACTACTAACCCTATCTTTGCTTGCAGTGAGGTTCTGCATGGCACCACAGCTGGCCTGGCTAATGACATCGCTTTTAGACGACTTGAGCAGCTCAACATACACATCTATGGCTTTTGTGTTGTACAACCAATTCACATGTGATCCCATGGTTGTCTCATCACTGCCTTCTCTCAAGTCTTGCGGTGGGTCTGAGAAAATCTGAGCAGAGAGAAAAGCAGTTTAGGACCTAAAATGCGGTCATCGTGATTTGGGACAAGCTTCTTGGTTAACACCCACCTCTTCTTTAGTTTTTCTGCTTCTAGGACTGAAGCATCCAACTGTGGGGCTTTTCCTACCCTCAGGATTATCAGATTGAACCTCTGCTGAGGATGTAGCCGCCGGACACTCTTGCCATAGTTCGTATGTCAAGTTATGGAGGGTGCACACACAGTTCTCCAAAGGCTATAAAATGAAAACAAGAAATAAAACAGATTATGCAGGACAACATGTCCTAAAGTAATTTTTTTCTATAACTATATTTGTTAGTTGAGTCATGTAGCAACAGGCCGTCAGCAGTCCCTGAACCAAAATTAACACAAAGGAGAAATACTAATAAAAGGGATTCTACATAATAATGAAGTTTGGTAAATACTCCAACCATGCAGGTACATTTAAACCCAAAATTATTCATACTCAATACTGCAGAAGTACATTTAAAGTGATATTTTAGTCTACCAATATGCTTCTTCTGACTAGGAGTGACATTAATGTTCCAGAGTTGCCAGGCCAGAGTCCGCACTGATGGAGAATCTGTGAAGGGAGCTAAACCCTCAAAGACTTGTTGCAATCACATTGCGAAAAATAAATTGTCAAAATAGCAATGGCAATATGCAATTTGATATTTCGATTCAGTAGTAAGAAGGTTATAAGAATTGATCTACATTGCTTTTACTTATGAAAATGTAGATAAAAACAAAAACATTGTTTTAAATACAATATTCATTTTAAAATGTTGTTTTTTTTTAATCCTTTGAACTATGCATGTCCCGACTAGAATAAATTAAAGTAAATGTACATCTAAATTTGCCAGGAGTGTGGTCAAGAATGGACCTAACTGTGTGGGAAGACTAACTTGAGGTTTCAGTTATCTTATGTATGTGAAGATTAAAATCTACATGCATGCAGTACTTTCCCAGGAACATGCACATATATTTATTTTAGCAAATGGATGCTTCCAAGCAAAATTCAGAAAATGCTTAAAGTGTAGAATGAACACATTCTGTGTAAGAAACACGAGAGATGTTCAACGGGAATAGGGAAAGAAGTAAAGAGGAGTCTTGAGAAGTGAGTCATCCAAATTCAATGGAAACAAACAGGACCAAGAATAAAACGAGCATCTGATGAACAGATAGACTTCCTTCGATGAGGAGGTCAGTGAAGCAACACTTCATACGAATCATTAAACTTCACGTGCTGCCACCGACAACGCAGTTCAGGAGTCAGTTATTATAAGGCGTCACTAAATCAGGCAACACACAGTAAAACACTAAACCCAAAAACAGAATACAAACACAATTGCTTGGACTATTGATTAGCTTTCTCACAGAAAAGCACTTTTAGACAACTACGAAATAGGTTGCTGAATAATTGTTTGGCAACTGCTCGACCTCACTGCCTGATTGAAGCGACACCGACAATGACGGATGTGACGACGTGTGTTTATTTACGCTTACCTTGTCATTTAGTCTCCCCTCTTTCTCGCATGATAAAAGGTATGTCACCAGGGCCTTAAGAAGGTTTTCACAATTTCTCATTTTTCCCCTGTGAAATTTTGAGCCGCTGCTCAGGTTCCTACATGCACATCATTAATCATTGCTCATTATTACGTGGTTTCATGTACATGCACCACACAAATTGACAGAAAATGTAAAAACAGATTTTCAGTTCAAACTAATTTTAATGTTGAAGATTACCTGAGGAAATACCAAAAAAGAAAAAAAATTAAGTTATAATAGCATTTATCACAGGGAAAAAAGATTTTCATATGCAAAAATCCTTCTATGTGGGTAATTTAAAAACGATTCTCCAAAGAGGAGCTGAGCCATAGTAACGTGACAAACTCAATGGAAGGTCCTGCAAAGATCTGATAGGCATCAAGGGTGCACAGCCGGTTATTAGGTTTAGATGTAATTACTTTTTCACATATAGCCTATGTTGTTTTTTTAATGCCTTTTTTCCCCCTGATAAATGGAATATTTGAAAACTGTTCTTTGTATTTACTCAACTTTGATTTTACCAGATACATTTTGATGCTCTGAAAAATGTTACAAATGCAAACACAGAAGGAAGAAAGATATTTACCTCAAGCAGCCGGTGGCAAAATAAAAGACTTCTGGATCTACATATTCTGTGTCGTCCTTTGGGATGCTAAATGGCACCACCACATTCTTAGTCAGAGCGATAAGTGCTGTCGAAGTTAGCTCATTCTTCAGTTCGTCAATGGAAGACAGGTTCCAGAGTAGGCCTTTTTTTAAAAATGCATATATATATATATATATATCACTGTTTTAATGCATCAGCATTTTTACACAACTACTAAAACACTTTTCCTAATCCCACAGTTCTCATTGTTCCTTTCTAATGTGTAAATGCATCATTCTTTCAACAAATCTTAACTATTAAGTCCAGTAAAATGACTATCTGTGTCTTTAGATTAAAAATAATTCTAAGCAGAGCTGCATGATTCATCATAATTTCACTGTGTATAACACCACAACCATAAAGAACTAGTGGGATTAAATATTTGGTAGGCCATAACTTAATACCCACACCTGATTTACACCTTAGAGACTGAGATGCTACGGATCAGCTGGTTAATTACATATAATCATCATAATATTCAAAAACAATATAACAATGTCCTGTTTTCTCAGTAAAATTCCAGCCTTAATTTTTGAGATCAGGCGTCCCTACCAGCGAGTTGCCTCTGCGTTTCAGTAGAGTCTGTCTTCTTCATTAGGTTCAGGATCTTAGCTATGCCACCGCATTTCTGAACTTCCATCTTGTTTTTGTTGTGCTTGAAGACGAGATTTCTCAGAGCACCAGAAGCAGCCCTTTGTATGGTTGGGTTGGTGCTGTCCAGCATGTCCACCAAAGGTGGAATTCCTTCATACTCGTATACCTGCAACAAAATTTGCGATTGGGAGACAACCTGTTATTTCCGGTTTATGATTAGAGTGGTCTGTCAGGATTTTTTCAAAGCTGCCATTTTTGATGAAGTGACAAGTTTATTCTCATCAGAGAGAATAGATGTATCTTTTCACAATCAACGTAAAGCTTTGATTCTGTTTAAAAAAAAAAAAAAACTTAAAAAAAATATTAAAAATCTAGTTCCTGTCATTTCTAAGTATGAACAAACTGACAACAGTATTCACTAGCCTGTCTTGCAAAGCACTCCTTCCCCTTGGTGCAACTAAATGCCATTTTTTTCTTTTTTACATTTTATGTGATAAACACAAAGTATGCACAGAGCTGCGAAGTAAGAGGAAAAGGGTAAAGTGTTTTATTAGAAATAAAAAAATTAAAAAGTGTGGCATGTATTTGTGTGCAGTCCCCTGAGTCTGTTCCTTTTTATTGGATGTTTACCTGGTCTGCATATCTAAACTGAAATGTTTCATTATTATTCCTGGCAAAATAGCTCAAACTCATGGATGGAAAGCATTTGTGAAGATAAGCTGTCAAGAGAATTTAGCAACTAATTTTACACTAGACTTTGGAAAAAAAAAATTAACACAGAAAATTCACTTTGATCTAAACCATTCCATTGTACATTAAATGCTGTGTTTCTGCAAACACGCCTCCACTCGCCCAGTGACAAAAGACCCTACATTGCATGCGATTCCTTCTGGTAACAAGATCCATGCGGTATACCAACCTTGTCTTTGGCTAATTCGTCACTGAAGCAGACATGTTGGATATAGTTGGCCCCACGTTGATGACATTTCTCATCAGTATCCGTCAAGAAATGCACGGCTTCTTCTAGGGTTATATCATCTTGCATGTTTCCTGTAGAGTTGAACCTATCAGAAAACACATAGGAATTGAAGACAGAGTTGGCAATTATCTGTTCAGAATTTAAAAGAGGGGGTGAGGGGAAGAATGCCTAATAAATATAACGAATCAAAGCAAAAGGCAAGGAGTAAACTAAACTCACACGAACGACTGCTCGAGTTTGGACACCTTAATGGAGCCCAACTTGCCATCGGTTTGAGACTGGCTGGAAGGTGGCCGGACAATTTGCATTTGACTCTCGGTGGAAGACGGGCAATTAATTGTCGAACGGGTCTCTTTAGTAACTTGAATTTGGCTTGAATTGATCTGCCCTTTGACTTTCTAGAAAAAGAATAATAGTGAACAAAATTATTTCGGTATTATTTTGGGATCGGGCAAGAACACTGAAGCAAGAGCTACTCACCATGCTAGGTGCTGAAGCAAGACGACCTGAAATAAAACTGGGGTCACTCTGACTGGGTTTCAGCCCATTGGAGCTTTTTGTCCAGGATGAGGTGTTGACTTGTTCCATGTTGGAGCCGACTAATCTTCCCTTCGGATTTTTAGTTGTTAGACTTCGGCTCTTCTGAACATTTATATAAATTGCAGAGCAGAAAAGAACAGAAGTTATTAGTTATGGTCCCAAAAATGTGAGAAAACAAATCAGAACTGAATGAAACAGTTTTTGGCTGAAGACTGCAAAGATTCCTGGGGTGTGTTCTTGAAGATTCTCAAATTGCTCTAAGCAAGCTCCCTTCTTAGCCAAAAACTGTGCCATAGAGAACTAACTTAAGAGTCAGTCGGTTATTGAGAGCGACTCTGAGTGAGTAGATGACAGAAATTCCTGTTTTAGTGAAAAGGTGTGGTTGACCCCATTGCTGGATGTGATGCTGTCTTCTACAGACTGTGACCAACTACATAGTACAGTTTAATTTAGTGTTTTTGATCCATGGGTGTTTTTTTAAGCTCTGTTCCTTCTTTTTCTTATAAGGCATTATTTGAAAAACTGATTTTTAGCATAAAACAACTTTCACAATTATTGGAACAGCTGGTGAACGTTTCAAAAGTGATTTAAATCATAAAAACATCATACAGTCATCAAGTCTGAAACAAGCAGTAAACATTACACTTTGCCAAATATCATCAAGAAAACACATAAATATGTTGATCAATGTTCCAGTCACTGCTAATCAGAGGCAGCTGTAAGCAGGCGAGATCTTAGCCTTGAATTAACTGAACTCTGTGTTTCAGCAGTTTTGCAGTTTTCTGGTAGGTAGTTTGAGATTTGAGGTGCATAGAAGCTGAATGCTGCTTTCTCCATGTTTGGTTCTGGGGATGCAGAGAAGACCAGAACCAGAAGATCTGAGAGGTCTGGAAGGTTGATACGACAACAACAGAGTGACAGCCAAAATACATTAGTTTTGTTAGTTTCATAATCTAACTTTTGTTGGTTTATAAACTTTTGCTAATGTTAATTCAATGTGTGGAAAGCATGGCCAACAGGGATTAAACGGCTTTGTTCACTTCCGCTGGTGTCATTGTTAAAACTACAGGTAGACTACAATTCTAAAACAGAAAATCAATGTGATCGCTCACAACTTCTCCTGTTTCCTGATTGGCCCCTTTTTTGGAGCAGCGTTGCACTGGAAGCTAATGGCCAGGCTAGCACACAAACACCCACACACATTATTTGAATATTCCCAAGTAGGACAGAGTAAAATTCAGAAGAGTCGGAGCAACACAAGCGATAAATGTCCATACAAACGTTGTTGCACAAAAATGAAAGGTTTGGCAGGGAAACCATTTCCAGTAAAAACTTGATCAGTGAACATCAGTGGAGAAAGAAGCAACTTTATCTTTGCAGAAAAGTCATTAATCAAAGTTCCACCTGTCTGCAGCTGACATTTTGACATATTTAATTTATCAGGAAGGAGAACTAGGTTATGTGAAAGTTACAGGGAGAGGCATGCACAGTTGATCTCCTGGTGTTTTAAGCCTGACATGGTGCTGAGAAAGCACACACACATATCACCAAGGGACTTGGCAGGGAAAATTGAAAAAGATATTCAATATAGCGTCTGAATATCTTTAGCTTCTTTGAAGCAGTACTTGGAAACATCCGCAGATCCAGCGAGTTGTTGCATGTGGTCTTAACTGGAACAAGCAAGATTCATTGACTGAATTATTACTGTATGAGAAATGCAATGGATATGCAGTGGGGTGAATGAAGAAACACAGCTCTGGAGAAAACTTAAGGTTTTAATAAAAGCCAGTTTAGCAGCTTTTAAACACGCCTCCCTTTAAGGCTGTGTTTCTCAGCTTCGGGCAAGTTGTCAAATAAGATAGACCCATATTTTACCGTAAAATAATTCTACAGCAGCCAAAAATTGAAATGTATGCTATCATCAAATGATCGTGCATGTACAATGACATTCAGTGTTTATAAAGTATTATCTAACAGAGGCTGTGGCTCCTAAAATAACAGGAAACTACAGAGATTACAAGATAAACGTCACTGATCTTTCTAGCTCAATGAGTCCCTGAAGGCAAGAATAAACTGAGATCGGCCACTGAATAAACAAGTTTCACTTCTGTAAAATATTAACTAAATGTATTTTGGGGGGGGGGGGCAAGGGGGGCGGGTTTCAACTCAGAAATTAAACGTATACATTTTTGTGGACTACTAATTCAGCAATGATGGGAATTCACTTTAGTACATTATTGTTCTTTCCTGGATTTCAGGGAATAAGCTACACATGCTGTTCAATATAGCTGAATATATTCAAAATTATTCTTCCTGATGTGCATGTTCACAGACAAATAAAATACGACACAGCATGATGTGTGTGGATTGTGAGCCTTCATCAGAACAGGCAACACCAACATGTTCCCTAGAAATGCCTCACGTACGTGCAAGCAGGCCAGGTCAGGCCAAATCCCCATAAATACATGCACACACCCAAACAAAGAGCCACGTAAACACGCGCTACTGGAATTTGGATTACAGAATAGTTCATCTCAGTACACGCATATCGAATCCAGAGTTTTGTAGCAGAGTAGAGAGTGACGCTTTTCTTTTTACACAGCTATTGACAAAAGCAAACAAACACACAAGCATATGCATGCAAGAAAAAAAAATCTAATTAGTTTTTTTCTGCAGGGCATTGCAGCTACTCTGTTTGCTCAAATATCTAGCCATTCATTGTGTGTCAGTTATCAGAGACTGGGTCATTGAGGTAATGTATGCTGGAGGGAAACTCAGTCGAGCCTTTGCATGTCCGGCTCATTCTAAGGGAGACCCCAGCCACTTGTATTCAGGATCTTGTTCTCTTGATCATGATTCATGTCTCATGGCCATAGGTGAAAGTTTGAATATAAATTGACCGGTAAATGGAGACCTTAGCTTTTTGGGCTCAATCCCTACTTTACCACGACGAGCCAATGTGACACCTGCAAAACTGCCGATGTGGCCATAATTTGTCTACATGTCTCCTGCTCCAACCTTTCATCACTCGCGAACAAGACAAACCTCCTTCACTGGACCCTCAAACTAGAGCACAACTTGTTCAGAGTAAAAACCATGTCCTGATGCTCAGAGGAGGTGACTTTTTAATGTTCCGCCTTCATAAATATCAATCTTGAGATCGCATAAGGGTCTCCTCAAGGATCCTTTTTGAAACACTTCAAATTAAGTATCTAATTGCTTCTCCGAACTCAGGTTATGAAGTATTCTATTCTCTCTCAATTATCTTCTTACACTCAATTATCTTGTGAATCAATGGTGCTATAAAAATGAACCTGCTTTTATCAGCAATATAAATTATCTATCACTCAACGCTGCCATAATGTGAACTCAGAAAATTACATATTAGTTTCTCAACAACATGTTTTGGTTAACAGCCTCAGTAAGGATTCCAACTACTGCTTTCTAGTAATAGCAACAGAATAGGAAGAAAACAAAAGCATCTAGTTCGTCAAATTATGATTTTTTTATGTCTTTCCTCAATGCAAGCAATTTGATTATTTTATGTCTATTTCTAGCCATTCACCCCAAATCGGCTTTTAATGACTTGTTGCAGCAATTTGCAAGACATTTCTTCTCAATGTATATCCAACACAGCATATACATATATGTCGACACACAGACTAGTTGCCATCTCAACTAACAACAGTGCTGCTAATTAGGGGTGCTTCCCTCTCCTTCACTATTTTTAATAACCTTTTTCCTGACCTTATATAGTTGTCATAGCATTTGCAATTAGTAGCAAAGTCCCGCATCACTTTTTTTTTTTTACATAATACGAATACATTTAAGATTAAGCGCATTACATTGACAATTTATCAGCTAGCCGCAGTCATTGTTGCCCTCCTGCACGGATATGGGGGGGAGGGTGGAGGGGGTGGCAAGATCATGTGGCTGCAATGGGTCCATAGGAAATATCTGAGATAAATAATGTAGTGTTAAGGATGAAGATGAAATGAACCAACTATTCAACAGAAGTACTTCATCTTTGCCACTTTAACAAACTACAATATGGCCTTTTTCTTGAAGAGTCTTTGAAAGAAGCAGAAGTCTGTGATCTGATTACCGACACATGATGCTGACACAGAAAGAGAGACAGAGAGAGAAACAGTTACCCTATTCTGGAGAGCGGCTGACCCGCTGGAGATGGAGCGGACGTAGGTGCTAGCTCCCCTATACTTGAACGTCCCAAAGTCAGAGGATTTGAAAGTTGGTGGAGAAGGGTCTGTAGAAATAAAAGAGAAATAAGAAAGTAAAACCACTGAATCCTTTAAAAAAAAAAAAAAAAGCTGATGCATACACTCCAAACCTTAGATATGGATTTTATTTTAATAGTCTGACGGTTCTAAAGCTAGAATGAAAAACAGACATGAAATCAAGTAAGAATCTAGAGGATGGTTGTTGTAATCATGTCGTAGAGAGATGAGATGAGGTCTCAGACTCAGGACGACAGACTCACGGCTGTTCTGGGCCGAGTGACAAGATTTCTGCTTGAAAAACTGTTTCCTTAATTACCAAATTATTCAGAGTGGAAAAAACAGACTACCTGGCACAAAGAAAAATGCTAAATGAAGTAAAACAGTTTGTTTTACTAATGTGTGTTGAAATTAGGAAAAAGTATTTGAGCATTTGAGGAGTGAAATCAATTTTTTTTTATATATATATATATAAAATTTGGCGATGATTTTAAGGAAAACAACTCTCGTGATAGAAAAAAAAAGCTTAGAACAACTCTTATAGGTTGCTTTAAACTAAACACAAATTTGACTTAAATAGAATAGGTACTGTTTTAAAACAATTTTAATGTGTGCGCGCTTCCACACACACACTCTTCTCTGTTTTGTTTTTGTTTATGAATAAGAACTGGTTTCCCTCTAACTTTGAACAGCTTGTCAAAACACACAATTTATAAAGCTTCTGCACCTCAAAACCTAAACATAAACCATATGACATGGTGCCTTTAAAACAAGCTACACGTTTTTTTTCGTAATCTGACCGACTCGTCAGATTACAACTGACAGAACTGATTCAATTCACAGAGGCAAATGTCTATTATTATGATTTTTGTTGCTGCATTGTGAATTTGTATATACATTGTTTTAACATTTCTGTATGGAACTCTAAATGGTTAATGTGAGCTCCCAGATATGAAAGTTAAAAGCAGCCCTGTGAACTCAGATGTGTGTGCGGCTCCAATCCTTATTTCTTCCCATAATTCGGAGTTTGAGAACTGTGAACACACCAATTAATTACCTTTGAAAACATTGTAAATCGGCATATAAAAAAACCCAACATTTTTGCAGTTTATTTTCAAACTGAGATAAAATTAGGGATTTAAATTCTAGCTTCCAACAAAAAAAAAATCAACTTGTAAAAATGCATACAATCAGTCATTTTACTGCAGCAGAAGAACTTTTAACAGTTTTCATTTGATTTTCATTTCTGGAATAAATTAGCCAATTTTGGATCATTTCATGTGATCTAATTTCATGTTGTGTTCACTCACTTATTTTTCATGGCAAATATTTCACTATTAGTGACATTTGTGTGCATGTAACTAAGCACAACTAATCCTATGTTTTCATGGCAACATAAAATAAGCAGAACTAAATAGACCGCACTCTTTGTTTTTCAGATTATGCAAAGGTCGTACTCTTGTTATTACATTTATACATTTTATAGCAGCTCCCACCACTGCGTTTTGCAGGACAGGCTAATTCCAGACGTTTTGTATTCCTGGAAAATGATTGCTTTAATGATGTTTGTGTTTGCCGACTTGCTACCTGAGGGGGGGGGGACCGTCAGGTAATTATAGTCGACTGCTTGACATGACATTTATAAAGTACAAGCAGCTTAAGTCTCGAAAAGTCTATTTTGCTGTTTCAACCTGTCGAAACTGCGACGCTAGTCTTTTTAGTGTGCGCGCGAGCGTCACTCCCACACCAAACTAGTTTGGACTAGAAATTGAACCCCCACCCCGATTTCATCTACACACATCAAACGAGTACCTAACCGTATCAAAAAAAAAAAAAAAAAAAAAAAAAAAAAATGTCTGGGAACGGAGCCAGTTTGGTGAGTGACACCTCTGGAAATTTGAATGACGCACCTTTCCTCAGACAGCAAAACTAAACCCGAAAACTTTCAAACTAACTTCCCTCCGCGAGACTTAAAATAACTCAAAGAAATTGGTTTCCATACCTGTGGGACTCGCCGTGCCGTTCTTGTACTTCGATTTGCTCCTCTTAATGCTGTTGACCTGGTTCAGCACACGTTGCGGTCCCGAGCTCAGGTCCTTGTCGGACGGCGTCATGAGCGAGGTGTCCCCCGCGCTCCCGGGCTCCGTGGCCGATCGCAGTCCCATCATCTTCCCAAACTCGGATCCCTGACCTGGAGCGGGTGGGTCAAACGAGTTCTCCAAACGAGAGCTGAGGCCCCGCGATGAAGAAGCGCAGCAACAACGGGTGCAGCGGATAAGCCAGAGAGCTCACATATGGTAAATGTTCCCAGAGCAGAAGGTGTGGACTCCACCCTCGGGGACCGCGCCCCTTCGAGAGCTAAGGAAAGTTCACATGCAGGTGCGGGGGATAAAGGGTGGAGCACATGCAAGAAAGAGAAAGAGGAACCCAATGACAGCCCCTATTACATTGCAGTGCCTGCGCACATTTAAATACTTAGTTATGTCATTGTTGGGACCGTTGCAGAACTGCACAGTGTTTGTGTTTTAACTTGCAAACTATTCCAACTGAAAGGTGAACTGAGGATAAGAGGTTCAAAGAGCCGTTTGACGCAGCTGATCATATACAAACTGTATCATCCTAGTTGAACAAGTCATCAGAATAAAAGCAGTAGTGAAAATTAAAACAGCTTTTTCTTCAAATAAAAAATAAATCCCAAAGATAGAACTGTATGATGGTAGGAAAGGACTGCATTATGTCAAATGTTCATCTTCCCAGCAGGATATTTATGTGCACAGCCAGAGTTGCAGTGCATTAGTTTAGATCAAATCCATGCATTATCCATCAAAATTATTTTATTTGCATATGCGCTTCATTTAGCCCGCATAACCTTGAGACATTTTACGATGAAGAACCTGCAAATATTTTGGTGTCGCATAGTATTTGCAGCTGAAAGTGCAATTGGGGTTTGTTACAAGACGGACTTGACTTCTTACTGTCTGATTTGCACGTGAGGTAGACGGCATGAGTCAGACTGGGAGGAGAAAGAATGAAAAAAAAAGGGAGGAGTCAAAGGATCAAGGAGAAGAGTTAGAGCGGGAACTGTGCCGATAGGAACACATGCTTTCAGCATAACCCGACTGATTTGGCAAAGATTCTGCAGGTACGAGTTTCCCACCACACCCTCGTGCTGCACAACACCAAGGCAATAAATACCTGGGTTTCTGTTACTTACGTGCCAGTGAGTCTCCAAAAAAAAAAAAAAAAATCGAAACTGAAATTTGATGCCAAAAAAAGCAAAGGTTATATTCTGCCACTGATGCATTACAATCTAGAAGTAAATGGAACGGCATAGAATACAAGACCTTTTAAAATTGTTTAATTTTTGTTTTGTCATAACATCATTTGAGTTTTTACAATACTGCTGCTGCTGCATTATTGTCCTGCAAAACATTTGAAATGTGTTAGGTTGGGCAGCTAGTAGTTATGTTATGGCTAATGATGGCTGGGACTTTTAATAGCAACCAGTGGTATTTGCTGCATTTATGTTGTCCTTAGTTAAACTCTTCATCTCCAATGTGTAAAAAAAAACAATATTTAGTTCATGAGAATGAGATGATGAGGTGTTGAAACTTTTATTTTTTGAGCAGGTAATGGAAGAATCTCCATGTTTTTTTGTTTTTGTTTCATGTTCTAATTGCCTTGGTCCCAGATGAGCTGATCACAACCAGTCCAGATTCCTTTAGGAACTGTGAAAAAGCTTTTTACATTTTTTGCTGAACTGGAGTCCTAAATCTGTTACCAAACCTGCCAATTTAAATGTCCATTTTGACCACTTGACTTGAAAAGACTTTGTGAGACTTTTCAAGAAGATGAGAGTCATTTCACTAAGGACTTTAATTAAAAAGTTGTAGGCGATTGTCACAAAAATACAATCTTCTTACCGTCTTGGATTTATTATTCTCTAAGGTAGTGATTATGTGAAACAAGTTCTGCGATATAAAGTGTTTGTTTTTTTTGTGGCGAGTCTTCATTGGCTTTAAAGCTATTGTGTTGGTAGGAGTTCCCACACAGATCACATTAATGGCTGCCAATAAAAAACATTTGGAAACTCACAGAACAATAACAAAGACCCAAGCAACCGCACCTATTACATATCATCAGCTATTTAACACATTGTTTATTGGTTAGGCCTGTCGCAAAAAAATCCATTCGTGCAAATGTTTGTGATGAAAATTAATTAATCACAAACAAGCTCAAGATTTTCCATTTGCAATATTTATTGCTTTTCTCTGTTTACCAAAAACGTTGTGACAAATGTCTTCAGTCTTGTGATTTGGTCTCAGCTAGACGGTTTTGAAGGACAATTTTTTTTTTATCACTCATTTTATTTGATATTTTTAATCGTTTTATTTTGGATTTCTAAAATGTCTTCCAGTTCCAGTGTTAAATATTCCTTGGAATTTAAAGTTTATTGATCTTTGAGAATGTCTTCTTTCATTATTGTGCCATTACCATTATATTAATTGAAAATAGTCTCAAAACGACAATTTTATAGCTTATCACAATAACTTATACGATAATTTATTGTCCAGCAAAATTTATAATCCTGACATGCCTACTCAATGTATGCTTGAATATCCAGCATGCAAGGCCAAATTTAAATAAAAATCCCTTAGTTTATGTGATATTAGCACTGAACATTTGTACGAACACGATTAACACACCTCTAAGCCCCTGACAATTTGAATTGCATGTACTTTCTGCAACCTGAACAGAACATAAAAGTAAAAAAAAAAAAAAAAATCCAATAACTGACTATTCATACCTTCCAGACCGAGTCTTTGAATTTCTTCAAACTTAAGGAATGGTAACGCTAACGAAAGTGCTGGGTAATCAAATAAAAGGACGAGCTGGGAGAAAACAAAAATGAAGGCAGCAAATCTTTAAGTGAGACAGGTTAAAACGATGCATGTTGTTGAGAAAATAAATTTAAAATAAGCTAGTTTTAAAACTTAACATGTCTTGACTCAAATGCCCTAATTGTGGTTTTGAAATTAGTAATGTATTCTGGCTCTTTGACCTTTATTTTACCTGTAGTTACAGCAGATGGTTTGCTAGGATCGTTTGAACTGCCTTTTGTCTGTGTGGGAAAACAATACAGGAGAAGTTGTAGCTTTTCACACTCATCTGTGAAAGGCCGTAAACACGGCAGGGGTTTCTGGCTTCAGATAGAGGGTCAGAGATAGCTCCTGGTTGGATGAGCAAAGATACGCCTTATTTGAATAAATTAAATACAAGAGGATAAAACTTTCTACACAGAAGTAACAAATCAGATTTGCCCTTGCAATTCTCCAAAGATGTCTTTCCACGCCTTTGCTTTTCTTTCTTTCTTTCTTTCTTTTCCATTTATGTCAGGTAAATGAATGTATGTCTCCGTTGTTCTGCAGTTTCTGGTGTAAGTTTGTGCATTGTCTTACTTCTAAGTTTATGCATTGTCTTATATTGGATTAAATTCTGTAATTCTGTGATGTCAACACGCATTGTTGTTTTCCTTGTGGCTACACGTGGCCCGCCGAGAGGACCTGGGATCCAGAGGAAGAGAGAGCCAAACTTTTTCCAAAGTTAACCTATTTTAGAAATTCTTCCTTAACAATGTGAAGAGAGTAAACTTCTTCAGGCAGGGTGTAATTTAACTCACTGCTTAGATAGCCTGACGTTATAGCACCACCTAGGAGAAAAAATAAGCACTGCACTTTCCAGGGAAGACAATTTTGAAAAGTTGCTTATAATAAAAGGTACTTTACATTATTCTAACTGTGGATTGTGGTGTTAATTGCTGCACATTGTAATCATAATCATAGTCCTAAAATATAATCTTGTATTAACTGCATTACCACCATTTATGGTCATATTAATTGTAGCAGATTAAATAAGAAAAATGGATTCCATCCTTTACATATGTGCTACTGTTATAAGCTAAGACAGCAATAAATGCTTCTAGGGAAAGACATTTTCCCTATGACTAAATCATTTTTAGACATGTTCAAATCTCAGGACGTATTTTTATTTTTTTTAATAAAATTCCTTGCTTCAGCTAAAGAAGAAGAAGAAGAAAAAAAAAACACCTACTGTGCATTTATGTCACTCGGTTTACTCTGATGATACCCAACAATAAAATCCTGTGGAACAAACTGCCTTCAGAAAACATCAAATTAGTTAGCAGTCGATAAATGTGAACCTTAAAGAGTAAATTCAGCAGTAATGCTAATGTCCTCAGAAGTTTCCTTTAGCACGTCAACGAGGGAGGAGGGTCAGGTAGAAAAGTACTTAGAGCCAAGAAGAAGAGGAAGAAGGCGCTCCGCTCAGACGAAGGGAAGCTTAAGCCTTGTGAACTTAATGTGGGAGAAAACTAACATAAGCACATCACCATGAGCATACCGTGGTAAAACATCTCAGTAACGGCGTCATGCTGTGGGGATCCTTTTCTTCCACAGGCAAATTGGCCAAGCTAAACAGAAAAACACTGGACAAACAAGATGCAAAAGACAAACCCCAAAACAATGCAGCTGCAATTGCAATTGCAAAACAATCCTACTGCTATCAATTTAACAACTACGCCAAACTTAATATTGGTGTATCAAATACAACTGCTATAAAATTCATAGAATGTTATGGTTGTAATATGAACAAGGGTTTGGAAACATTTGCATAGAACTGGATACCAAGCGGGTATCCAAATATCCCTCGTCTTGCCAAGTTCAAAACAATACAATAAATGAAGAGCTTAACTTTTAGATTTTTATTTGAAAATTCATTAAAAATGATAACTTGTCTCCTCGCTCTGACTCCAACAACATGTGAATTTACTGGTGCAGCTTAGAGGCACAGATTTTATTCTTTGGGAGGATTTGAATAAAGGACTTATGATGCAAAGAGACAGTAAAAATGCAGCACTTTTTGTCGACTCCACAATGAAAATGAAATTTAAAACAGAACCAGTCCTCGTTTTTATATATACGTATATCCATCTTTCTTCTATAAAAAAAAGGAGAGTGAAAAGCCATGTGTACCAGTTTCAAAGATATTTTACAAAAGAGTGTCAGATGAAGTTTGTTAGTGTTGACAGGTAAAAATCTACCCAAATGCACTTAAGAGTGATAATAATGTAATCTGTACCATACATACACCAAGACCCAACCTATACATCCATCTTATATGATATTTTTTCTCACTGTGTTGGTAAAATACAAAAAGAAATACCTTACAAAACACATCTTATTGTTTTGGCTTAAACATAGTACCGTTACAAACGTAGTGTACACATCCTATACATCAGTGCTCCTCAGCTTAGCACATTCTTATCTT